GGAGGGAGGGAGAGGAGGGAGGGAGAGGGAGAGAGAGGTGGGGGAGATATTGGGTCTCTTGTGTGCTTTTGAAACCTCAAAGCCTACTGCAGGGATACACCTCCTCCAACAATGCCACACCTCCTCCAACGAGGCCACACCTCCATCAATAAGGCCACACCTCCTCCAACGAGGCCACACCTCCATCAATAAGGCCGCACCTCCTAATCTTTCCCAAACAGTTCTACATACTGGGGATGAAGAATTCAAACACATGAGCCTAAGGGGACCATTCTCGTTCAAACTACCACAGTCTCTGAGTATGGCTTTAGGTTTGCTGAATTCTGACAAATGTACATAGGTGTAACTACTGTCTCAATTAAGATATTTCTGAGTATTCAAACAATGGTCAGATTATATGCAAAAACGGAACTCTGACTTACAACCTGCCGCAAGCAGCCCAGGACCCAACACGCTATGTACAGTAACGAGTCCATGAAGTTACCACAAGTATAGCATGTAGTCCAGACATCTAGCCAAAAACCCCCAGAGCAATTGGCTCCAAGTGGCTAGGACTTAATAGTTAATGGCTTCTCTATTTATTGACTCTTCCTTAAATCTTAGGGCCAAACTGAAGAACCCAAATATGTATTCCTAAGCAACCACATAAGATCCCCTGCTTCTAATTTTCTGTCCCCACCCCCAATCAGGATATCTACCTCCACCCCCAGTCATGGTATCTACCCATACCCCCAATCAGGGTGTGCTGAAGCCTTCCCCATTTTCTGTGCACTCTAATTTTATACACAATAATTTATTCTATTAATCTTCCAATATTGGATACTTGAGCTCATCTAAACATTTTGCAAACACATGCCTGCTCACATGTCATTTTGTAGCTACTCCAATACATCTTTGAGATCACCACATTTAAGAGTTACACACACACACACACACACACACACACACATACACACACACACACACATACACACACACACACACACAATTTGAAAAAGAATGTCAACTTTCTCATGCAGTAATAAACACAAGGACTTATTTATTTTCCATTTCTCTGAAATACTATCAATATTTTGGCTTTTCCCTATAAGACAAGAAATGAGCTCATCCCACAGATAAAATGTCAGTTTCTTGTCAAGCTTTCCAGTGTCATTTGCAATTCCTTCCCTGTGAACTGTCTGCCCATATATTTTTCAATTGGCTGCTAGTCTTTTCTAAACTCCTCAACCTTAGGAACATATGCAGGCTTTGATACAAGTTGTAATTTTTCCCAGTTTGCAATTTGTTTTTGGCTTTGTCTGCAGTTTTTTTATATGTATTTTATATAGTTAATATTATTTACTCTGTTCCTGGATTTTGAGTGATGGTAAGGAAAATTTCCTCCTTCTTAGTTTGTAAAGAGTTTATGTATTTTCCTTCTAGTAGATGGAAGGAGATCCTTTTTTCCTTTTATATGCTAATTATTGTATAGTTCATTTACCATATAACCTACCTATTTAAAGTATGTAGTATATGCTGTTTATTTATCACATTATTTTTAATTATGTTCGATATATAACATCATATTGACTGTTTTAATCGTATTCGATGTACAAGAAGGTAGGATTATTCACATTCATCACGTTGCACTATTTCCATTTCTAAAATTTTTCATCACAGAAACTGTGTAACAATTAAGAAATACCTTCATTCCTCTCTCCTCCAGTCTCTTTGCTTTCCTCTATTCTGCCTCTGAATTTATCTACTCCAAATATTTAATAAATGCAAATCATGCAATAATTGTCCTTTCGTTTGTGGGTTATTTAACTTAACATAACATTTTTAAATGTAGCATGCATCGAAACTTGTATCACTTTAAAGGCTGAATAATATTCCATTACTTGGCTATACCAATTACTTGGTATATGTCAATTCATTCATCTTTTGATGGACACATGATGTTTTCTTCTTTTGGTATTATGAAGAATGCTGCAAACACAACATAATTGCGTGTACATTGGTATACAACTATTTATTCAAGGCACTGTTTTGAATTTGCTTGGGTCTGCACCTCTGAAGGAAATACTGAGTCATTTGGTAGCTTCTTAGGAATTGCCTGTATGGAATGAGCCGTTCTGAATTGTACATTCTATGACTACTTTTGAATAGCACTTCTCAATTTCCCTTTGCTTCCCAGAAAGTAAAAATAAACAAATTATTGGAGTAATGTGTGTTTTACAACTGAACCCAGAATGACGAGGCCATCAGTACCAGTACTTTAAGGGACACTTTGGTACTAGTGTGATTGAGCAAGGTCATTCCAGCTTAATTTGATTCACTTTGTCCCCACCCAAATTGCAAGGATCTGAAGGTACCCTGACCAACAAGACCTGCATTTCTCTCAGTAAGTCCCCAGTAGAGTGTACTCTGTGAAGTCCTGGATCTGGCTGCATCTTTTCTTTGGTCCCTTGACTCCCTGGGGCCAGTTCTTGTACACTGGTTGCTCCAGTGCACCATCAAACCCATTTCTTACATGGCCGTAGCATCTACATCCCTACTAGCAGTGGAAGAGGGCACCAGTTGCTCCACACCCTCTGTAACTTTTAACACCCATGTTCATTTCATAAAGACACAGACATCCTAGTAGATGTGAAAGCAGATCTGACTTGACACTTTGGTTTTGATTTGCATTTGCCTAAGGACTAGTGATGCTGAACACCTTTCTCGTGTTTGTTGGTTATATGTGTATTTGCAGAACTATCTGTCAATGTCCTTTGCCCATTTTAAACATGGCTGTTTTATGTCACTGAATTCTCTGTGTGTCTAGGCTTTAAGTCTTTTTCAGTCACATGATTTGAAGATATATTCTTTCTTCCAAGGCTTGTTTTCAATTTCTTGATAATGTCCTTTGGTGCAAAGAGATCTTTACATGAAGTCTGGTTTACTAATTTTTTCTTTTGACATTATTAGAATCCAGTATCAATCCCAAAGTCCTCAAGATTTACCCGTATATTTCATTCTAATAATTTATGGGTTTAGTGACTATGTTTAGGTTAATGAGTCACTTAAATTTTTATAGCTGGTGTAAGGCATGTGTCTAATTCAATTCTTTTGGGTGGCTATCCAGTTATCCAAGCCTCATCAGTTGAAGAGATTATTCCTTCTCCCTTGGATGAACTTGGTAGCTTTGTGTTCTGGGACTAGCCTTATGCTCATACCAGGCTGTTTTAATTATAATAGTTTTGTAGTGAGTTTCACAAACAGAAAGCATACGTCCTCCAACTTTGTACTTATTTTTCAAGGTTTTGTTTGCTTGTTTTTGCTTACCAGGAGCCTTTGGCAGTTCTGTAGTAATTTTGAAGATTGGCCTTTCCATTTCTACAATACAGGCCATCAGAATTTTTAGAGGAATTATCTTGGATATGAAGAATGTTTTGAACAGTACTGATATCTTCAAAAGAAGATAAAATCTTATTTATGAACCCAGGATCTATTTAAAAAAATTTTTTCTTGAGTCTAACTTAGCCCAAATCATGCAACACTTCCAAAGTTATCATGGAACACACTGGACCCAAAGTGTCCCAACTGCTGAACAATTGCACCAAACCACATTTCACTGCAATTCACAAAGCCCCATTTTATTTTAGTATAAATAATAGCCATCAAGGAAGAGGCAAAACAAACATTTGACTATCAGCATTCAACTGGAGAGCCATTTTCTTCAGACATTCATGAAGGGCTTTGGGCGACATCTTCAAAGTGGCAGGGGGCACAGGGACAGGCACACAAGATTGAAAGCATAAAAGCATATTCTCATGAGGACCAGGCAGTCCTTGTTGTTGGAGGACCAAATGGAGTCATCGTTAATGTAAGTTGAATCAAAGTTCACGAGGTGTAAGTCCTTCTTAAGATACACGTGGTTCAGCCTGTTCACTGTTCGAGCGAAGGAGTACTTAGAGGCACAGCTGTAGGCCTCCAAACAGTACACTTTGTTGAAGTGCAAGTCAAAAAATGGATTGTCCTAGAAAAGAGAGAGAGAGAGAGAGAGAGAGAGAGAGAGAGAGAGAGAGAGAGAGAGAGAGACTTGGTTTACATTTTCAAAGTCATTTCCAGGATTCCCATGGTCTGCTGGCTGTGCCTATTGATTGTAAAGTATTAGTATCAGATATATTTCTAAAATCCACAGATCCGCTTTCCAAAGCCAGGAGAGCCAAACGGAATCACTTCTTGAAAGTCAGCAGCACAATCTTTGCTTTATCCCAGCCCTCAACTCCAGCGGGCATTCCCAGGGAGCCCACAGGCCACTCTGGCCAGAGAAGCAGGCAGGCTAGCTGCAGATCTTCATCTTTCCTTCTAGTCTTCTAAATCCAATCTACCTGACTCATACCCAGCTCTTCAGCAGACCACCTGCTGCAACCTCCCTTCCTCCTCCCCTCCTCCCCTTTCTAGTGGACCACATGATCTTCTACTCTAACCATTCCCCAAATGCATTAATTCACCCCAGCCCCCAACTCCAGCAGGCATTCCCTGGGAACCTGCAGGCCACTCTGGCCAGGAAAGCAGGTAGCCTAACTACAGATCTCCACCACTCTCCTCTCTCCTCCAAATCCAATCTCCCAGTCTCACACCATTTTTGCAGAAGACCACCAGCTTTGCCCCCCACCCCACTTCTCTGCCCCCATCTCCAGTGGATCATGCAGACCTTTTCCTCCAGCCCTCTTCCTCACTCATCTGTTATCCCAGCCCATAACGCCAGCAAGCTTTCTCTGGGAACCTGCCAGCCAAGCCTGCCAGAGGAGCAAGTAGGCCAGCAAAGACTGTAGGCAAGCTTCACATATTCACTTTTCCTTCTCTCCTCCATATCCACTCTTCTAGTCTCCTCTCCAGCTCTGTAACAAACTGGCTGTTGTGGCCTCTCCTCACTCTCTGCCTCCATTCCCGGGAGACTAAGCAGACCCTGGGGGGACAGTGTCGATGGCCATCCCAGAGACATGAAGGCAGTTCGGTTCAACACGATTCGGTAGCCAGTGTTGGTTCAAACATTGAGAGTCTGATATTCAGTAGTTTATTTTAGGCATATTTAAACACAGCACTGTTTGATAAAAAGTTTCAGGTGATAATTAACTCCACCCCACTTTGATGTACATCAAAGCCTGAGACGTGATTACATTGAAACTGTCAAGTATAAGTGATATCTTTCATAAAGACAGGTTCTACAGATTGAGAAACTAAGCTCAAGGTAAGGGTCTGGGGGATGATCTGGTGTGGTCTTGGGCCGCACAGCACAAAAGTCATCAGACGTTTAACCAGGTAGAAAACAGGTCATACATTTCTCCCTTTGAAGAGACAAGCCTGCATGTTTAACATTCTTGGTTTCTCTAGTGCTTATCTGTGAGCATAAGGACCTACATGCTTCCTACGGAACAACTTGCTTTCCTCCCTCCTGTGGACCCCCTCAACCCTCTCTAGCCCATCCCCTTTCCTAAGTGTCAACTCCCAATGCCTAGGAACACATTTACCTGAAAACCCCAATGACCACACCTATCAGATCCCAGAATAACTTCCTACCAGGCAACACACAGTCACCACACTCTATTGAGAACCAGAGAGGGCAACAGAAACCAAGGAACAAAACACCCACCCAACAAAGACAATTCCAGATTTCAGCAACTAGAATTACAGTCTCCCCAAACTCAGATGCCTAGATGCCAGCATAAAAACACAATAGAGAGTATCCAGGACAATATGTCTCCACTGGAGGCCAGCAACCCAACCACAGTAGGCCCTAAGTACTGCAACAGAGCTGAAGCATGAGAAAACCCCAAAACTAGTCTTTATGGACATGATAGAAGTCCTTAAAGACAAAATGAATAAATCCCATAATGAAATCTATGAACACACACACAAACAGTGGAAGGAAATGAACAAAATTATTCCAGACCCGAAAGTGAAACTAGAATCAATAAAGAAAACCCAAACTGGGGGAAATCTGGAACTGAAACCTAAGAACCCAAATAGGAACCTCAGAGGCAAGCCTCATCATTATAAGAATGTAAGAGATGGGCGAGAGAATTCAGGCTTTGAAAATATGATAGAAGTAGATACCCCAGTCAAATAATATGTTAACTCTAAAAACCTCCTGACATAGAACATCTAAGAAACGCAGGTCAAAGGTACAAAAAAATATTTAAAAAAAAATCATAGAAGAAATTTCCCTTTCCTAAAGAAGGAGATGCCTATCAAGGTACAAGAAGCATACAGAACACCAAAAAGACTAGGCCAGAAAAGAAATTCCCCTCAGCACATAATAATCAAAACACCAAACATATAAAGCAAATAGACTATTAAATGCTGCAAGGAAAAAAGACCAAGTAACATATAAATGCAAACCTATTAGAATTACACTTGACTCCTCAATAGAGGACCTGGACAGATGTTGTACAGACTCTAAGACATCACAGGTGCCAGCCCAGACTACTATACCCAGCAAATCTGTCAATCACAGCAGATGGAGAAAATAAGATATTCCAGGATAAAAACAAATTTAAGCAATATCTACGAATCCATCCTTATAGAAGGTGCTAGAAGGAAAACTCCAAACTAAAGCAGTTAACTATACCCAAGAAAATACAAGGAATAAATAATCCCAGACAAGCAAATCAAAAGAGGGAAAACACACACTCACACCCCAAAACTGAAATCATAGGAATCAACAAGCTCTGCTCCTTGATATCTCTCAATATTAATGGTCTCAATTTCCCAATAAAAAGACATAGATTAACAGAATGGATGAAAAAACAGATCTTTCCTGCTGCTGCATCTAAGAAACACATTTTAACAGCAAGGAGAGACCCCACCTCGGGTAAAAGGATGGAAAAAGATATCCCAAACAAATGGACCTAAGAAGCAAGCTGGTGTCACCATTTTAATATCTGGCAAAATACACTTCAAACCAAAACTAATTAGAAGAGAGGAAAGGACAGTGCATACTCATCAAAGGAAAAATTCATTAAGAGGGCACTGGAATCCTTAGCGTCTATGCCCCAAACACAAGGGCACCCAAGTTCATAAAAGAAACACAATGGCAGCTTAAATCATGTACTGATAGTGGGAAACTTCAATACCCCACTCTTGCCAATAGACAGATCATGTAGACAAAAACTAAACAGAGAAATGCTGGAGCTAACTGATATTATAAACCTAATGAACCTAACAGATATTTACAAAACATTTCACACAAACACAAAAGAACATACCTTCTCAGACTGCATGGAACTTTCTCCAAAGTTAACCACATGCTTGGACACAAAGCAAATCTCAACAGATACAAGAAAATTGAAGTAACATCTTACATCCTATCAGATCACCACGGAATAAAGCTGGATATCAACAACAGAAACAACAGAAAGCTTATAGACTCATGGAAACTGAACAACTCTCTACTGAATGAAAAATGGGTCAAGAAAGAATTTTTTTTTTAAAAAAGTTAGTACTCCAGAATTCAATGAAAACGGATACACAGCATACCTAAACTTACGGGACACAATGAAAGTGGTGCTAAGAGGAAAGTTCATAGCACTAAGTGTCTACATAAAAACCTGGAGAGATCTCATATTAGCAACTTAACAGCACACCTGAAAACTCTAGAACAAAATGAAGAAATAATCAAACTCAGGGCTGAAATCAATAACATAGAAACAAAACAAACAAACAACAAACAAATACAAAGAATCAGTGAAACAGAGAATTGGTTCTTTGAGAAAAAAACTGACAAGCCATTATCCAAATTAAGTAAAAGGCAGAGAGAGAGAGAGAGAGAGAGAGAGAGAGAGAGAGAGAGAGAGAGAGAGAGAAGGGGGATGTAAATTAACAAAGTTAGAACTGAAAAGGAGGACATAGTAACATATTCTTAGGACCTGCAGAGAATCATAAGAACATACTTTAAAAGCTTGTAATCCACCAAACTGGAAAATAATGGATAATTCTTATTGATACATACCACTTACCAAAGTTGAATCAAGACCAGATAAGCAATGTAAAGAGACCAATAACCTCTAGTGAAATGGAAGTAGTCATTAAAAGTTCCTTCCCCACCAGAAAAAAGCCCAGGGCTGGATGGTTTTAGTGCAGAATTTACCAGACTTCCAGAAAAGAGTTAATGCTAATATTCTTCAAATTTTTTCCACAAAATGGAAAGAGAAGGAACATTGTCCAATTAGTTTTATGAGGCCATAGTCACCCAACAAAATTACAGACCAATTTCCCTTATGAACATACATGTAAAACTTCTCAATAAAATACTTGCAAGCTGAATACAAGCACACATCAAAAAGATCATCCACCACGATCAAGAAGGCTTCATCCCAAAGATGCAGGGATGGTTCAATATATGTAAATATGTCAATGTAATCCACCTTATAAACTATCTGAAAGACAAAAAAAACACACAGTCTCATTAAAAGAAGAAAAGGCCTTTAACAAAATCCAACACTTCTTCATGATGAATGTCCTAGAGAGATTATGGATTCAAGGAAGATACCTCAACATAATAAAGGCAGTTTACAAAAAACCAATAGCTAACATCAACTTAAATGGAGAAAAACTAAAGCAATTGTATTAAAATCAAGAATGAGACAAGGCAGTCCATGCTCTCCATACCTATTCAATATAGTAGTTGAAATCTTAGCTACAGCAATAAGACACTGAAGGAGATCAGGGGAACACTAATTGGAAAAGAAGTCAAAGTATCATTATTTACAGATGATTTTATAGTATACATAAGTGATCCTAAAAGTTTCACCAGGAAATTTCTATAGCTGATAAACACTTTCAGCAAAGTAGTTTACAATTAACTCACAAAAATTGGTAAGCCTACTATGTACAAATGACAAACTGAGAATGAGATCAGAGAAGCATCACTTTTCACAATAGTTTCGAAAAATATAAAATCTTGAAGTAACTCTAATCAAGCAAGTTGACTTGTATTATAAAAACTTCAAGATATTAAGGGAAGAAATTCAA